GGACCGCTCCGCCTTCGACACCGACGTGATTTCCATGACCCGCCTCGTGATGGAGGAAGGGCGGCGCGCCAGGGGCACCGGCGAGTTCACCCAGCTCCTCAACTCCCTCTGCACCGCCGTCAAGGCCATCTCCAGCGCCGTGCGCAAGGCCGGCATCGCCAACCTGTGAGTGACACCGGCCCCGCCGCCCTCCCCGGCGCTCCCCCGGCCTCTCTCCCTCCTCAGCAGCTCAAAACCTCTCGCCCACCTCACGCCGCGAACCCTTCCCCCCCGCCATCCCGAGCTGACGCCTGTAGCGTCCCAGGCTCCGGCTTTTCCCCGGCAGAAATGGGTTTTGTCACCTTTTTTAATAGGTAAAGGCGCGCCGACTCGCGCAGGTGGCTGCGGCTGGTAGGTCTTCGTGCAGACACCTCCAGCAGGTCGAGACGCTTCGGACCCGAAGACAAAACAGACTGAAAGTTGAAGCCTGGCAAAATAGGGCTGAACTGTTATTATTCGTTGTAGGCAAGAACTTGATATCGAAGCACCGTTTTCATGCTATAGGGAGTTTAATCAAATTCGGGTTTGTTTTGTTTTGTTTCATTTTTTGCTTTTGCCACATTGTGCCCTAGCAACCTGAGTTTTTCTGTGACACCCTGGAAGTCTCCGGCCTATAAATAAATGGTCTCTGCAAGGACCAGCAGTGTCTGTAGTCAGTCAGGCAGAGCTGATACCGAGGGGGATTGCTCTGGAGGAAGGAAAATGTGAGGAAAGGATTTCGGAAGGAAATGAGAGCTCTTGAAATGGTAAATAGCTGAAGCCAGTCTAGGGCAACTGATTCTCCCATGTATTTTGCATATTGTTGATAAGCCACATAATATGCTGATCAGGGCTTTAGACGCAAGCTGCCTCATTACTTAAAGAAAAAAGTAATAGCAAGAAAACAAATTTGCCTCTACAGACCATACAGTGGAAAATAAATTAAGTAAAATGCCTCTAGCAAAACAGAGTAACACTTTTTACAAAATACATCAGTATCTTAGTATCAGCAAGCTGAAAGATTTGGTGACTGAAGCTGGCAGAACAGAAGCAATTGCACAAGCAAATTACAATAGCTCACTCTATATAATTTAAAGTATCTTTTGCTGTCTTGACTTCAAATCTCATCTGATATGCTTGGCACAGTTTTATAGTCGCTACATGCTAGCCCCTTCCTAAGCCTTTTATGCTACAGTTCCAACAGCAGAGAGTAGGGTTTCCTTCCACCGCCAACTTGTAACCTTCCTTGGCCCCATTCCTTGTGCCTCCTCTCTGTGTTTCCATGGCTTTGCTGAGGTGTCCGTGGGTCCGATACCTGAGCTGCTATCCTGGCCTCACTACCCTCCAAGGTGGATGGTATTTTCTTCCCCGGGACAACCAGCTTTGGACTTGCGAGCCTCCTCAGGCAGGCGAAGCGCAGCTCCCACCGTGGGACTGTGTTTCCTGACCAGCGGTGGGATTTTCCTGTCTCAGGCACTGCCGAGTGACACATGACCTGACCATCGGAGAGCGCAGAGCAGCAGGGATTGCCGGGCCCATTTCTTGGGGTGGCCCCCAGCCTGGCCGTGAAGGTGGTGATGAGCTGCTGCCACCGCCGTGGCCACCGCTCCTTCCCGCTGCAGGCTCCATACAAGCTGCCTACTGCCCTCTGCGCTCCCCAGGGGCTGGGCACCCAGATTTGGCCATGTGAAGGTTTTGCTCTCAGGATGAGAGCCCCCCCGGCTCCAAAGTGTGACATTTAAAGTCTAATGTTTTCTAAAACATTGCAGAAAAATGCTAAAGCAGCTGTAGCAGAGAAGGAGAGAGAATTTTGCTGGATCTTTCACTTTTTCTTATGCATCAGATTGAAGAAATGCAGTACATTTCTTCAATTCTAAATACATCCTGGTCAGCTGTATTGCGAGAAAAAAAAAAAAAGAGAAAGAAAAAGAAAAAAAAAGAAATACCAGTATTCAGTATTCAGCTCTCACCAATGTATCGCAGGTAAGCTTAAGTAAGAGCCATCGGTGTGCCTGCGCAGAGCTAGGTACGGCTTTTCTCTTTTACGACGTAATCCATAACCCAAACTTCCTTTGTCTGTGTGTGTTTTCACTATTGCCTATCGCGAGCTCTGCTGGTACTTCCTGGTGCTGAGTGCTGGGTTCAGACTAACCAGCCGGAAATCAGCTGGCTGATTTCTTTTTTTTTTTTGTTTGTTTGGCACTTGTGTTTCTCAGTCTTATTCGCAAATAAACACTTACAACTTAAAAACAAAGCTAGAAACATTATAGCATAAAAATGTTGATTTAACCTCTGAACAAAAGGTTTGTGCCCATATTTGTACAGGGTATTGCTAACCATAACCAATATAGTCAGATGCATTGTTACTTTTTAAGTATAGACTTTCTAGTGAGATCTTAGCTTTTAAAGCAGCTACGATGTGGCAGCCAAGGTTGTAGGGGCAGTATTTGGGTCTTAAGAGGCAACAGCTAATTTAATAGCGTGATTATAATCCAGTCCTCGTAGCGTGCTCTGGCTGGGTTTGCCTATAGTTTGGGGACTATTCACGCGTGATTCCTTTTTTGCATTCCTCATGTTCAGTGTATTCCAGCCTTGCTACCACAGCTCGTGTTAGCAGGTCTCAGCAAGAACTTATCAGCTGGTAAATAAAAGGAGGCTTACAGACCTGAGATATCACTCAGAAGAGTTGTTTGTTTCACAAGACTTTTCTACGAGCCTAAGCCTGCTAGAAGTGGGGTACTTTGGGAGACAGAGCGCCCAGTTTTTACAAAATGCTCTTCTCTCTTTCCATCGCTTTAGCTATGGAATTGCTGGTTCTACCAATGTGACAGGAGACCAAGTGAAGAAGCTGGATATCCTTTCCAATGATCTCGTGATTAATATGCTCAAGTCATCCTTCAGCACCTGTGTTATCGTATCAGAAGAAAATAAAGATGCTATAATAGTAGAAGCTGAAAAAAGGGTTAGTAGCTTGAAAAACCTCTCAGGACGTGATTTCAAATCAGCCTTTACAGCTTTGTCTCTTCAAATTTAAAAATGAAAAATGAGCTAAAGGTCTCAGAGAGAACCTGTATTTTTCTGAGTATTGGCAAATACTAATATTTTCTTGTATGCTCCCCTCTCTCAGCAGTTGTCCTTTCTATTACTTCTGTTCCCTAGACTGCTGTATTGATTTTTTTTTTTTTTAAATTCTTCTCTAAAACTCTTCCCCACCCTCTTTTAACCCCTCCGGGCCTTCACCTCATTGTTGGGAAAACGTATTTCTTGCCTACTCCCCCTGTTCTCCAGAACTGTACTCTGAGTGAATTAAGCTCTTCTGTGAAGTTTTGAGTAGCTTTGGTAGCAGAACACTGAATATCTGTTCTTTGTGGATCAAATACTGAATTCGTGATTGTTTTAGATCTGAACAAGATGATTTTAGAGCCTCAAAGATTGTTGATGCTCAGTGGTATTTTTTTTTATATACTAATTATGAGCTAATATGGTGGTTTTATCATAATACCTATCCATAGAGTAGCAGTATAACCTGTTGCTGGGCTTGAATAAGTTTCTGGCATATAGGATGAAGTCAAATGAAAAGCAAGTAAACAAACACTGTTGCTACACATAATTATGAAAATGATTGTGAATAAAATAACAATTTGTCAGTGGTGAAGAGAAAAACAGGCTACTTGAAAGGTACAGCTGGTTGGAAAGGTACATTTTCCCTATACTGACAATTTCCTGTATCTAAAGGAATCCGTACCATAGCAATAGGCAGAGACTGTTCATTCGGAAAACAAACAAACAAACAAAAAAGAGAAAAAGGTTATTGTAAGACCACAACCTGGCAAAGGTAATTTCTGAGCACTGCTCATTTCTGAGCACAGGCTTTCATTAAGGTGTTTAAAGTGGAATATGCAGTAAAGTAAAATGTATAGTTTATGGATGTCAGGTGTTAAGGCTACCTTGTAGTATCTTTAATTTTAGATCTAAAAAAAAAAACTAATCTAGCGATTTACTTAATTTGTTTTTTTCCTTGTAATTCAGAAAGCAGTTTTATAAGAGATGAGAAAACATAGCTCAAATGGTAGATGTTGTCGGATGTCTATAAAAATGGCTCAGTATTAATTAAATATATAAAGATTCTTTTTTTAAAAATGACGCAGCAAAACTTCAGCTTTCCTATGTCATCATTTATAACTTTAGCTAGAGATTTCTCAGCTTCTACTGTGACAGAAATTCATGCAGTTGTAAACAAGGATGAAATCTTGGCCAAAAAAAGTCAAAACATGAGAGTTCAGTTTCCTCATAAACTGTAACAGTCTCTTGGTTTATATTGGTATGAAATTGTCTGAGAAACTTTAACTACTGAAATATTTTTAGTGTAGGTAGGTAAATAATGTCACTAATCCAGTTATTTCCTATTTTGTATTTTCCAGGGTAAATACATAGTCTGCATAGACCCTCTAGATGGCTCCTCTAACATTGACTGCCTTGTTTCCATTGGGACCATCTTTGGCATCTACAAAAAGGTAAAACACTTTCATGTAGGAGAAGAAAAATTATTTTTCATACTTATGCAGCTCTTCATGAAATAAAATTCCATATGAAAATTTAATAAAATCCAACTAAACTTATTTCTGAAGGAAGCTTTAATGACCAAGTTTAAATTTGACCTCCTATTACACAGATGTTTGTATAAAGCATTTGTGAGGGGTAAACATTACTCTCTCAGAAGGTGAGAAACTTATGTGTATGTGCAAGCCTAGCTGATATTTAATTAGCCAGCTAAAGGAATTTCCCTTTACAAACGAAACAGGTCTTAGATTTCATGAATAATTATGTTGAGATAAAATACCACATGATTGTTTTCTACTCGGGGAACACGCTTTCAGGTTTTCTTGTTCATCTATATTAATAGTCTTTTCAGCCTGAGGATAGGCTTCAAATATAGACCAGAGCTGAAACATGGCACGTGCATTTGAAGTATCTAATTCACTCTAAAAGGCAGAAACCTTGTATGAAGGAGCTTGAAATACAGGATTTACATGTTAAAAGATGGAAGGGAAATAATGTACATCAGATAAAACACACCCAGCTGTCCATTTCAATCATCTTTTTCATGCTGTGATGTACCTCAAAGTAACTTCATTTTTACATGAAGCAAAACAGAACAAAAAAAAAAAATCCTAGGTACTTTTCATCAGCTGCAGACTCCCTGAGTCAGGCTTCATTGTTTGTTTTTAACCCTGCCTCAGGGTTTTACTTTGAGTTGTGTTCATCATCATCTGCAAGGAGGTACACAGCTCTGCATTATCTCCTGACTTCTGTCCTGCTTCCTGCATTCCAGCTGGGCTTATATAAGAACATTTCCAGCTTAGTGCATTTGTCTCCTCTGTATAATTTGTCCTAGCACATGCCCTAGGAATCCCGGTTTGGAGCATGGAAGTGTGTGTGCCGGTGTTGCAGGGAGGTGGAGTAGAAGACCATCCCTATCTCAAAAAGAATCCAGTTGTTTACTAACTGTAAAAAAAAAAAAAAAAAGAAAGATTGACTATGATACTTTTATTCTAGGTATCCCCTGATGAACCTTCTGGGAAAGATGCTTTACAATCTGGGCGTAACCTTGTGGCAGCTGGTTATGCTCTCTATGGGAGTGCCACAATGCTAGTACTGGCTACTTCTGCTGGAGGTGTCAACTGCTTTATGCTTGATCCGGTAAGAATACCTTTTTTGGGGGGTGTGAGTGGGGAGCTGTCAAGACACTGTCTGTAAGAACGGTTTGTCCCGAAAGAGTCAACCGAAGGAGCAATTTTCAAATCGAGGCTAATGTGGAGAAGTGAAATACTTTTGATGCCTATCAAAAATAACATCCAGAGGTTTTTGCATTCTTGCTGACTGCTGCAGTGGATGTTACGAGTGATTCAACATAGTGAAGGCAGCCAAGTCAGTGAAACAAATATACACTGTGTGTCAAATAATGTGATATTTAAAATAAGCTGTTTTCTGCAATGCAGAATGCCCACTTAAGACTTGTCTGTCTGATTTCCTTAACGTTAGGACCTTAATATTGAAGTAAACTAGCGAAGCAGAAATATTTAACCTTCTTGTATGTCTTCAGATCTCACCATGATGTGTAAAAGAGTAAGTAAAGCATATGGATGTGTTTGACATTCTGGAATGCGTTGGCTGTAGAAGTTTTAAAACAAAAAACATATTTACCATAATACAAAGTGTTCTGCTATAATGACCCACTTTAATGTAGTCAGTTAATCAGGGTGTGCCACCTACCTATATTGGAATTTTTGGAACCGGTCATGATCATATAGCAGGAAATAGAAGTTGGTGTTCCCTTTTAGGTAATAGCTTCAGTAGCTGCATGTATTTCATCTCTGTTCGGAATGTAAATTTGAATGTGTGTGCATGTTTGTTTGTTTGCTTTAACGCTAACATGGAAATTTACCTCAGTGAGGATTAAATAGCCTAGCCCTTGGTTACAGGGAATAGTTCTCTTAACTCCGTGTTTCTGGCTTCCAGTTAGACTAAGCTAGGAGGAACTGGAATTTTTTAATATCTGCAGCTATTTGCAGATGTTTAAACTGATGCTTCACCTGACAGTTCTAATTCCTGAGCTACTCAGGGCTATACTTTTATTATTAGTCTTAACAAAGGAGTAGAAAGCTAAATAAATTTAGTCAATTGCATTTTTTGGCACAGACTACTTATGTGGAAACGGGAAGGGTAGTATGAAGAAGCTTCCATGACCCCAGGATTCAGGCTCTGTGTGCTTATCATTTCTCATTTAGACTGAAAGTATCCACTTTTTCATAGATGCCTTACTCAAAGGTCGCATTTATTTAAAGAAAGTGAAAACTGGAGTATATGTCTACGAAATTGTACATAGGATTGTTTTTCTCTTGTCTTGTAAATACATGCAAAATTAAAATTAACAGATTGATTTGCATTCTTACTAGGCAATCGGAGAATTCATTTTGGTGGATAGGGATGTGAAAATCAAAAAGAAGGGAAATATCTACAGTCTCAATGAGGGCTATGCTAAATATTTTGATCCTGCAGTCACAGACTATCTCAAAAAGAAGAAATTCCCTGAGGTAAAAGATCCTATTTCAGAGAAATTTGTTGATAACAGGTAACACTCATAACTTTACAATCAATCACTATCTCATGTATGAGTTAGAATACATGAGCTCTGGTAGAATTTCCAGAGCTTGTTTTCCTTTTTCTTACCTATTTACTATCTGTACATAGCACTTTAATTTCGGATACCAAGCTTAAGACAGAAAGGGGATTCAGAAGGTTGTAATGCTAGTTAGAAGTTGATGTGACCAGACATTTCACCATCCTTCAGTCTTGTGCTACATCTGCTACATCGCTCTCTCTTTTTTTTTTTTTTTGGCTTCCTTCCTGACTGGGCATAAAAAAGGGGGCCGGAGGCCAAACCAGGCACTTTGTGTGGTCAAGTAGAGAGGAGAACTCTGGTTTGGTGATGAAGAAATTGCATCAACATGTGTAATAGATCATTACTTCTTTGCTACAGCTGGTGTCCGTCTCTGTAGATGGAGACCTGTGGGGGGGGTGGGAATGGATTGGATGCTCAGTGGCAACATAAGCTGGATGCTGAGGGGCCTCACACTTGAAGAGCTCATGTAATTTCAAGGTCTGCTTTGTGGTCATGTGGTTTCCTTGCGTTAGGAGGCCCAAAGTTCAGAGGGGCACCCATAAAAATCATGTCCATTCTGATGTCTTACTTCCTTCATTACTGAAGGTATTATGTGGACAATGAAGTATAACCACTTGGTACTGTATACTGTTGGTGTCCACCTTCACCTCCCAGTAACTTTGAAGACAGATTGATATTCTCATTTTAACAGTTTGAAGAAAAGCATCTTGCCAGGCTGAATGGATTGTTTACTTGGATATTAAAATATATTTGAAATATTCCACTATATTATTTAAAATTATTAAAACATACTACAAAATATACTATTATCTCGAGTATAATGAGGAATTCATTGCAATAGTCAACTCTTAACCTTTTCTTGCCAAAAAAGTTACAGAAGCTGGTAAAAATGGGTAGAAGAACTAGGAAAGACTGCTTCTTTTCTGATTTTTTTTTTTTTCTCTTAGAGTTGGG